TGCAGATGATGATAAAGATCAAGAAGATGAAGAAAATGCCAAAGGAGGTAAGACAGGCAAACAAGCCTCCACCGGGAAAATAGCAGCGTTCTTCTCTCAAAAGCCTCCTCCTCGTCCTCCTACGTATGGTTCCTCTTCCTCCAGTGATGAGAGATCGAATCGAAAGGCAGCACCCTGGAGACCTACAACGCAAGACGAGGACCCAGAAGCCTTTATGGAGCAATTCTATAGCCGATATCTGTCCCCTGAAAAAGCCAAGGAGAGAAAAACGAGAAGAACAAGCAGCAGTAGTGGGAAGTTTGATGTAGAAGATTTTGATGGTGAGGAGGAAGATGAAGTGGGGGAACAAGAAGGTCAAAGTGCTGTGAAAGAAGTAGTCGGAGCTGATGGTGACGGCGCAGGTTGTCCCACTGAAAAACCACGAGGTGAACATGAGGACGGAGGTGCGATAGAAGAAAAAGGTGAAGATTCCCATGTTGGTAGGCAAAAAGACGATGGGACGACTCCTTCTAAACAGCAAATTAAAAGTCGTCCTCCTGCTGTCGCAGCTTCTTCATCCGAAGAGAGTGAAGTAGACCATGTCGCAGCTTCGATTGCTCGAGGGTTTGCATCTTCTAGCTCGGAACTAACGGAGGAAGAGACCAAGGCTGGACCTAATGAAGGAAGTAATGGAGGACTTAACTTTGTTGAACTGCCTAAGTTGAAGAAAGTAAGGCCTAGGCCACCTCACATGGATTTTAATGGTGTACAAGTATCAACCAATGCACCTCCGGTTTCTAGGAGTATTTTTAAGGGAGAAGAAGATGTGCCCAGGAAGAGAAACAGACCCACACAGGTAGAAGATGTGCCACAGGTCTTATCTGCTGAAGAGAGTGCTCAAGTAGAATATGTGCCACAGGATCAGTCAGGTGAAGATCAACATCAGTCCGTTGTTGTTGATGTTGGGGGTTCGGCAGCAGGTCCTCGGGAAGGCACTTTAGTAGTAGACCGACAAGTATCTTCAGTCCCCTCGGGAACAGGACCGTCTTCCGAAAACCTAGACAACAAGGTAGGAGTGCAGAGTCGGGAAGTTTCCCGCGAACAAGATGACGAAACGGCGCGATCACAGCCTATCATTCTTGGGCGCGAAGTTAGTGACAAAAGTCAAGCTAAAAGTGGCAAAACATCCGCTGCGCCAGCTAAAGAAGCGCCTGCCGCTGCATCAGTTCCTGCAAGCGCTCCAACAGCTGCCCCACCGGTTCCTACAACTTCAGCTCCCTCTCGTCCTGTCGCAGCTGCTCCACCAGAAGCAGATCGCGCCGTACCTCCAGCAACAGCAATTACAAATAAACCTAGTAGTACAGCTTCTGCTTCTGAACAACAACAACAAGGACCACCTCCAGCACCTTTCCCTCCCCGCAGAGGCAGAGACAGAGATAGCAAAAGAGAAATAGCAGCGTTGACAAAGGAGGAGGAGGAGGAAGAAAATGATGGCGCTGTGCGCTTTGGTATTGTAGAGCAGCGGGAATTCTCCAAGGAGGCAAGGCAGCCTCTTCGCAGAGACACCAGCCCACTAGTTAGAGCAGCCAGAGAGGGCAGACATCGATCTCCAAGGGCGGTTGAAGATGATGATGAAGTAGATGAAGATTCTGTGTCCTCTGATCTAGTTGAAGATGCAGATGTTGAAGAAAAAGTGCATCTTCACCATGATACAACAGCGACGTCTTCTTGCTATCCACCTCAACAGAATACAAATTTTCGTAATCCTCATCTTGTTCCTCGCTTCTTAGATGAAGGAAAACATCGAAGTTCACCCGCTGAACAAGACGCCGACAGGGAGTCTTTGAATGGCCTTGGTCCACACGAAGAGGTAGGACATCTTCTGGATTCTCCCATTGATGAGCCGGATTTGGAAGGAGAACAAGCTGAAGAAGAAGGACGTCATTCGTCGAAGCAAACGCTAGAAAGAAGAAGCGTAACCGCCGAGGAAACCGATGACACTGATGACAATTTTGGTGAGATCTTGAATGCAAATCCAGCTGTTCTTGGTGGCACGACAGGAGACGACACGGACGCTGGTGACGCAAGTGAGACGGCGACTCCAAAAAACTCGTCACGTCTGCAGCATCATAAGCAGAGGAAGACATCAGCGACTACAGGTACCAAAGTTGTAGAAGGAGAGCACGAGGATGCAAATGACGTTGTTCAAACAGAAACACCCAAGAAGAAAAAGCTGGGCAAGAAAAAAGCAGCGGAGAGGCGTGCGGCTGAGCGCAAGAGGCTAGAGGAGGAGAGGCTAGCCCAAGAACGAGAGTTGGCTAATAGGCTGATCGTTGACATTGACGCCAGGGAGATGATGCGGGAAGCGTTGTTTCAACAAGGACAGATCGACATGACTCTGAAAAACGCTTTGAAAATTAAGCAGTACGATCAGCGCTTTGAGCCGTTCGTTCTGGCCGAAACGGAGCGAGCTTGGGTTCAAGAGTTGCAGTTCTTTGCGGAGGCGAAAAAGCGCATGCACTTGATGGATAAGGAGCGAGACGAAAATCGCGAGCGGAGAAAGTCCGAAGGCTTCATCGACAAAGAACACGAATATTTGAAGAAACTAGAGCGGCGCGACGCAAAGGACGCACTGGAGGGAGGTGTTGAGGGCGAGAGTGATCGTGCGGAACAAGGAGGGGATGAGGGAGAAGGTGGAGTTTCGACTTCGTCACAAGTCGGTGGAGGTAGATGTTTAGAGGAGAATCAAGACGAAGCTGGCATTTTTCCGTCTTCCAACTCAGCACAACGACTTGACGCAATCGCAGAAGAAGAAGAAGATGACCCTGACCACTATCCTCCAAAATCAACACGTCAAAGAGGGAAGCATAGTAGTTCTGAGTCATTGTATCCGAGTTTTGAGAGAAGTGGTACTACTACTAGTAGAACATCGACTCCTGAGAAGGACCGCGATCCGGGTGAGCAGATCGACATACGCATAGCTGTGGATCGTATTGTCAAACGCGCTACGCAACGCGTCGTCGCAAACGTTCAAGAGCAGATGACGGCAGTGCGATCACTCACAGGATTTGTCACCGGGTACATGTTTATGGCCTGCTCTACCACACTTACTTCATGAGTTACAGGGAAGCAAGCTGGTACTTGATGTTGTAAGTACTTCTTTTCGTTATGTATTAGAGAGTCCTACTCATTATAGTAGGTTGTGCAATACAAATACATGGTACTGAAGAAATCTACTTCATCCCGATATCATCACCATCATCTCCTTACCCGTAGAAATTCAAGAGCGGTATCAAAATCTTCAACGTTCTGCAACAAGAGGGATGCACCACTACAGTTTGATGAAGCAAATCAATGCTTAAAGAACTCATCTAACACCTGGAAAAAGCGTCATCCCCGTAAGTACGATCGGACCGGCAAGCCTGGAGGCGCCGTCGGACGGCCAGAGAATTGGCCACCTTTAGGCGAAATTGCTAGAGAAATTTGCGAAGACAACGCTAGCAGTCTAGGGACAAATTGGAGCGCGCCGCGTAGTGGCAATGCGGATGTGGCGTCGCTGGGGACGGCTAGGAATTCGGAGAAGATTCCATTGTTGGAGGCTGGATTCTCAGATTCGGCGTCTGCTTCTCGCTCTGGTGGCGCTTCAGAAATAGAACTAGCAGCGAGCTCATCTTCTTCCCAAGTATCGGAGTCCTTGTGGGGAGAAGAGAAAGCTTTGGGGAGGAAAAACCAATTGAAGGATGAAGTTGGAAGTGATGTGGCTAGTGCACCTTCAAGAGATTCTGAGGATTCTGGTTCTCCTGATCGAGATCGTGGTAGAAGTACGCAGTCATCTCCAAGTGCTCTTCCTCGAGACAGTAAATCCAAGTCCTCTCGTCCTCCCTCTTCTGCTCATATGCCTTCTCCACGTTCCATCTTATCTGAGGATCCTTTGCATCTGGGTGCTTTGTTTAGGAGCAATAGAGACAAAGATGACGAAAGTGATCCTCTAGCACCATTTTTTTCCGAAGCATCGACGCCAGCAGCAGGTATGCGGTCACCCGTATTGCCCAACGAACTACTCACTGCGGCTGCTTCCGAAGTGCTACGCTTCGCGGGACAGTGGACAGTGCGCAAAGTTCAAGAGAACGACTTCTTGAAGAGAAAGCTCTTGCACTTAAGACTTACTTTTATTCATCTTAAGAGGCATCTTTGATCCCTTTTTCAAGAGGGAACTGCGTCAAAGATGCTTTCCAAGATGAATAAAAGTAAGGTCTAATGCACGCAGATCGCATCAACGAGTGGCGCGAAGCTAGGAAAAAGCGGGGGCGATTTAGGAATGACAAAGATCCGATTCCGACAGCAGGCGAAACAACCCTAGAGGACGTAAGAAACGCGGAAAAGCTGACAGGAATCGTCGAAGAGAACCATGCGGAGATGGAGAGGCAGCGTCAAAAAACGAAAGTTGAATTAGGACAGAGGTACGGCTTTCCTCCAGACGAGGAGGTGGGTAAAAATGATGATATTAAGAATGCAAACGACAATCCAGATGACAATATCCCGGACCACCTTGTCCATGACGACGCAGCAACAACGCGAATGCTTCTAGAGTACGTCGATGCAGTGTCAGCGAAAGATCCTTCTGAGGGAGCCACACTGGCGGCTCTGGTGTCAGAGGAAAAAAGTCTTTTGTTTAAGCACACTGATGTGCAGACGATGGTTGCGAGAATTGTGCAGAAAGCAACAGCAACTGTGACGCAACAACTCAAGCAAGAAGCGCACGTGGAGAAGAAAAAATGGACAGAGGAGTGGTTGCAGAAGCATCAGGATAAGTTCGCGCAATGGAGAGAACAAGCCGCGAGAGAATGTCTGGGAGAGGATGCTGGTGGAAAAGGAGCAGGCGGAACTTCGTCCTCAAAGACGGAAAGGAAGAAAGAAGATACGACTACATCACCATCAAGTGACAATAAGGCAAATACTGCATCTTCTGCCACAACAAACACCAACAAGGATGAGCCCTTGACGTTTCTGGAGCGGAAGAAGAAGGCCATTCTAGGGAGTTTAGCCAAGCACATGGACACCAAAGAAGACACCAGTCACCTCCCTGTCATGAAAGCTGAGGCGCCTTTTCTCAGCCTTGTTCCGAATAGGCAAAACGTGAACCAGAGAGAAGCAGCACTAAGAGGCGAAGCAAAAGGTAGTAGAACTCACAACATGACTGGGTCTGATACAACTGCTACTCGTCCTTCTATTGAGACAAGAACTGACTTGTCTCCGTCGGCAACGTCGTGTACGACAAGGGAACAGCAAGTCTCTTGGGATGCAAATGGCCGCCGCACGAGTCCGAACGCGAAAATCAAGCCTCCACCATTCATAATACCTGCTCCGGACTCAAGAAGGACTAGTTTGGAGACCGTGGAAGCACTGTTGAATGGGACGACGGGGCGTGTTGATGGTGGATATAGGAGACAAGGAGATCATACGATACATCAAGATCAACAAGGGGGTCAACAAATAGGAGAGCAGCTGCTAGATCAATACCCACCACCTGGACCGGCAGCAGACCACACTAACGTGCAGGATTCCGCATCCGCAACACCTTCTCTAGGCCTAGCAGCAGAATTCGAGATGGATGGTAGTACTGTGACAAGTTGGTCTTCTATGATGACCACGACCACTGGAGGTACGGGGTACAATGAGAATGACAATCCGATGTACCGGAACACCTTGACGCGGATCAGAGAAGATTTGCGCGATCCCGAGAAGAAGATTCTTTCTTAAGGCTTCCCGTAATTCATCTGGAGAGGCATCTGTGGCACGTTTTCAAAGGAAAAACGCGGCAAAAAAGGTGCTTTCCAAGATGATGAATCATGGTGGCAGGCTCTAACTTTCCGGTAAAGGTTTAGTCGAGTATCACAAAGCTCTTCGGCAGAAGACAGTAGGACACTATGGAGAGTCAGATTTGATCCGAATTTTCCAGAGGCTACAACACGGCCTACTGCAACCGAGAGGGCGAGTGGTGCTGTCGCCCGAAAGGATGAATCAGGGGAAGATGAACAACAACAAGACTTCGAATGTGTCTCCTTCTCGAGGATCACGAGGTGGTGACGATAAAACCATCGTAAAAACTGATGCTACAACTTCCACTAGTGTCGCCAGCATCAACATCACTGCCACCATGCGGAACAATCCTCGTATCTTCAAGATGCGTAAATCAGCATTTGCAAAGACGGAAACAGAACGCAAAATGACAGCCCTTGTTGGCCTTTCAACCAAGCAGGCACCAAGTGGCCATCATCTCGGTGTCAATCATTGTGGAGCTACTAGTGTTGACCAACAACCAAGCACTAGTCGGCTTCCTGCTAGTGGCACTCTTGGCTCCCCCATGCGCAAGAGAAATGAGCTTCTTAGTCCCTTAGTCGTGTCTCCGACCAAGGCTAATATGGCATCATCTTTGTCTCCGACTAAGACCGCGTCCACTGCTCATGAGGATTCCATGAACGATGCTTTCCACAGTTCTGTGACGCCGTTCGTGGTCACATTCAACGACTTGCTGAAGAACCTGCCACGAGAGTTGTTGGAGGTACTCCTGAGAAGATACGACCCACACAACTTTGGAGGTATCACATGTGCAGAGTTCCTCACAATGACGCAATTGGCGATGTCGAGCGCGCCAGATGTGTTGGAGGAACAGTTGTTTGGGGAAATCGACGACTAGAACGAAGTAGGAGAAGCAGTGGAGGCGAAGATGGTGCAAAGGTTCTGAGATGAACTGCAACCTTTAGCTTTGCCTACTGATTCTTCCCCTTCCCCAGTGATTCCCATTCCTTTACAGTATTCTCCTGTCCCTCAATGAATACGAATATTATTCCCCCTTTGAAGAAGTGCTTTTAATATACAACCCTTCATCCCCATTCCAGTTCCACCTTGTTCACCTTCAAGATAGTCCTCGTGCTGGTTTCGAGCGACGAGAAAATGCACGGGTCAGCGAGCAACCGCGCTCGTAGTTCCTGCTGATCCTCCTGTTCTTCCAGGTCCTCCTCTTTTTAGGCCTTTCGAGTGAACCTTGACCAGCTTCAAAAAGAACAAAAAAATGGCAATACCGTTACCGCCCGTGCTCGGGCTAATGACGTGCTTGCTTCTTTTCGTCAACTTTTTTGTCTACAACGTTTACCGCGTTTTGTCGACTCCCAAAACCGAAAGCGTAAACATGTCTCCGCTCACAAGTACACCACTCTTCCGAAACGGGGTTGCAACAACGTTAGCATGGTGCTTCATGCTGTACACATTCTACTTCCTCCAGTCCGTTCTAGCATTCGTCAGTTTCAGCCGACGCAGAGCAAAGAAGGGCGGTACTAGATGAACCGATTACATTTTTGATTATGTAGGATTTTGTCTAAGTCCGGTGTCTTATTCACGTGACATCCACCTTGCACTTTTCAGCGAGGCGATTCGACAAAACGCGCTTCTATGTATCTAAAAGCCTGTTCCGATTTCTGTCCCTGTCCGCCGATCTTCTTGCCCCATCACATCAGGTGACGACTCCCAGAACAAGCTGTCATTGTTTCAGGCCAAATACACTGATCGCGACCCAGAGGTTTTAGCCGCTGATCGCACAGTTACAAACACTGTAGAACAGTCTCTGATCTTCATACCGATTTTCTGGTTATCGATCGTAGTCGAATTGATGCCGCCGATGGGGAACAAAGCACATGTACAAGAACCAGGATTAGTCGAGCAATTCCTCCCATTTCCACTGGAAGCTCTGCGAACCGACGCACTCGGCATAGCGTGGATTGCATTTCGGAGTCTCTTCTTTTTCACTTAAGGGTCGGTGGGTCTAGGTTTCTGGCATTTTTTCTGGTACGCTTACAGTTTTGTCGCTCCTAAATTAGTACAAAAGGCATAACTAGGACTAGCGGGGTAAACTTACTAACACCAAAACCGTGCCTCTAATTCACTTTCCACGTCCTTCCGAAGGTTGTGCCTCGTGTATGGGGTCTGCCGCTGCATCTGTTCCTGTGCACAATACCCGCATATACCTGCATCTGGATCATGGCCACTAAGATTGCGGTGGGGGTGCTTTTGTGATTTTGAGTCTTGGGGGCGAACATGTATGTAGAGGGTAATTGATTCGATTTTTACAACCTGTAAATTCGAATCAATCACCCTTCACATACATGATTGGCTAGCTATGTGAATTGTGATTGGATGCTCGCACTGCTAAGACTCGCAGCTAAATCTGGAATATACAGAAGCGAACACCTTCATTGTCCAAGGTGCGTTCACACCGGTGAAGGGTGATTGATTCGATTGCCTAATGTCACCGGCACCTCACCAAGAAACCTAACTTCTCTGGAATAAGTATACAGAAGTTGTCTACTCCACTACTCGATCCGCAGGATCGACATCAAAAACTTGTTTTTACAACCTGTAGCGTCCGTTCAGTTAAAAGGCTCATCCCCTGGCCGGCGAGAACCACTTCATCTACCTTAGTAGGCTTACACGCCTCGTGGTCGTCCTCGGCTCCGGCTCCGCATCTATGATTCGAAGTCACTGAGTTTCGAACACGTCACCTCCTCAGCCTCACTTGCTTTCTCCTCCTCCTCCGGTGTCCCCATACCCACACCTATGTATTCGAAAGAAAGTTTTCGTATTTCTTCGTTTTGATCGGTTAGTGAAAAGGCCCTACTCGAAGTTTCAAGTCGGTAGTCAGACTAGAGTCTCGGTTGAAAATGCAAAAAATCAACGACATGTCCCTCCCTTACAGTGAACCAATATTAAGGGGTCGCGGCACAATGAAAACATAGCTACGGGGAGGACAAGTGAAAATAAGAAACGATGTTTGATATGTAGAACGACTTCTTTGTTTGTACAGGAGCCTATTCGAGAGCACCGAGACAATTTACCACGATATATAAGCAATTACATCATCCTCGACCCGCGTAGTAGATTGGAACTGCTTGGAACTACCGTTCCGCCCCGCATAGTGAAAAGTCCCGGACCTGCCAGTCGCGGCTCGACGAAACGTTTCGACGAGACCAGAGAACGGAACCGGAATCATCATGCGGATGATCTAGACCAGCATCAGCAACCATGTCGCAGAAGCCGAAGAAGGATTTTTATCGGACGTACCAGACGTCCGATTCGCTGAGCTTTCTTGACGCCTCACTAGTCAAACGTTTGGAGCCATTGCTGGCACAAAGAGACCGTCCAGGATGCGTCGACTTGCCTTCTTTCGTATCGATGATCTACGACCTTGCTTCGAGGAACTCCGATTTGCGGAAAGGTGAGGAACTAAGCTACGTGGAGTGTCTGTGCGTGCTCTTTCAGGCAGTGGCGGATTCCCAGGTGCTGTTGCCGGGGATCGATGCACCTGAAGCGCTTAGCTTCAATGAACTGGATTGGTCCTGGGTTACGGATTTTTTTATTCGAGAGAAGATTTCCTCAGTCAAAATCAAAGACCCGAATGAGGAGGAGGAAGCGGGTGCAGCAGGCGCGCAGGGGGGGAGCGGAGGGGAAGGACAGTACTTACTATTTTTTCTCGTCTGACCACGGTCGTGACTTGTAGTACAAGTAGGAGGTGCATCTTCTATCTTTCTAGTTTCTACCTGTTGTAGTAGAAGTAGAACAACTAGATGTCGCTTCTCAACATCAAACCCTGCTCCACAGACGCGACGCTCCTCGTTTTACTGTCTCCAAGATCGCGGATTATTCTACGCATCCCGGTGACGTCTGTGCTCTGATGGCTTGGCACCGATGGGGCCTCATCCTTTCCGCTGATCGAGAATATCCTGCCGTGAAAGTCTATGACCCCTATCAGCAGCCTCACGGTCCGCCAATCTACTGCGGAGATCTCCCGTTTTTTCCGTACAATATGTCTGGCGGAAGCTTGATTAGGAGGAGTGACGTGACGTTGCACGACTTTATCCAGAACATGTGCACGCCCCCTACAGCCATGGACGTAAAGAAGGGCTCGAAGCTGAAGGAAGAGAGGATTATGGGTACAGTAATTGTTGACTTTCTCAGTTGTAATTGTTGACTTTGATGACTGCTTGATCTTCATGGGCATTTTTCGTATAATTTCAATTCCTTTATGGTTCACTTCCTTCTCCTTGGTGTTGAGCCTGGATGTCTCTATCTTCTTTGTCCACCTCATTCAATCGTGCTAATGACAACTGCAAGCGGAATCATAGGATCACCCCCAAGCGCGATCACAACATCTTCACCAACCATTCTTGCATGCTTACGACTACACTAACGTCACCTATCTCGTCCGACAGCACCACTGACTCTTACAATACAACAGTTCCCCCACGTCAAGTCGTGTACCCGCCGAAAGGCGCCTTTCCGATTATGGTCGCTGTGGATGAGAAAAACGACACTTTAGGAGTCATCTTCTCCTCCAGACATCTCTGTTTTTGGCAGTGCGGCGACGGCGGCCTACGACTTACTGCTATTTACCCCGTCCACACAGCTTTCACCGGTCTTTGGTACGTCGAGAAATCGCTGGGTGAGTGGATAGGCGCTTTCGCTGATTTCAACTTAGGTGTCTACAATCGAGAACAACTCCGCTTAAAGTACGGTTCGCCCATGTCCTTTTCGCTGGTGCCGCAGAGGTCGAACGCGGATGTGAAGCTCGTAGCACCCTTGGCGATTTTACGTGGCCACATGGATCAAGTGGTAATGATTATCCCGATTCAAGAGGACTACATGGCCAGCGCGAGCTACGACTGCAACGTGTTGATATGGGAAAGGAAGACAGGTGCGCAAATGAAGCGAATAAGTAGCGGCGTAGGGCTACGAGGAATTGCATACAACTGGACTATGGTAAGTATATCTTAAAAAATCATGTTGATTATGTTTAACACCTTGATGAAGTAGAAGAACACTACGGTTGTATAGATACGGTTGAGTACTCATGTCCGACAACTCGATCATGCGAGTGTATCTCAATTCGTTTCTCAACCTGGCTCTCCAGGATCTCCTGATGACAGTCGGTTTTGCTCCAGAAGCTAGTTTGTACCAGTTGGGCAAGATCGATGACGGCAGTGCCACGAGCTCCATCAAGCGCGCTGGGGTCTTGCGCGGTCACATTTCTGGGCTGACCTGCTGCGCATTCATGGGTCCTCACATGGCTATTACCTGTGACGACGTCGGCTACATCCGCCTGTGGGACCTCAAGAATGGACAAAATTCCTGCTTCCAGATGATTCAGAGCGACACTGTCGCACAATCCATAGCCCTTGTGCATCGATTGGAAGAAGGCTACGTGAAGATGGGGCATTTCAGTCGTCAAGCAAGGGAAAGGGCTGAGTTCACTCTGCAAGAATTGCTCACACAGCAGGAGGATAGCGATTTCGTGATTGGCGGAGAGCGACTTCTCAAAATCAGGAAAATGGGACAGCACCCGCAAGCGGGAAACATACCACAGATCATCTTCGCGGATATCTGCTACCTGAATTATGCCATCCACCAACTGCTTTTTCTCAATCAGTCTCTTCCTAGTATTATAAATGGATCAGGACCAGCAGGCTTCTTTTCGAAATCCCATTAACTCTAATGAGTATGATTTATCATTTGAATCTGCTCGTGATAGCGCTAGTGCTACTCCTACTTTGCTTGTTGTGCTACACAACGTACATCAACGTTCACTATTCAACGTTCACTACTCCTGCCTCTTCTAATCACCTCACAGTTTAGTCGTCGTAACAGAGCAGTACGTGTACGCCTTCCATGCAGAGAGTGGGGTGCAGTTACGCGCAGTGTCTGCCCAGCAAATTTTCGCAGATGCAGAGGATAAGGTAGCTGAGAAAGAGCGAGACAACTACGAGATCGCGCGTGAGCATGCGGAGGAAAGTGCGGCTCGTGGAAGCCGTTTCGCTTTTCCCGGTAGTGTGCCAGGGAGTCCTACTACATCCGGAGGTGGCAGTCCTGGAGGCGGCGCCAGCGTTGTTACGGCCCCCACCGGGAATTTCCCATTTTGAAAAGCCTCCTGACTCCTGAGGCCTCTCTTCAAGGGAAAGCTAGGTCGTCCAGGATCACTTTCAGAATGAATTCCTGTCTAATGTTGTCGGATCTAATCCCGGAGGAAGATCAACAACGTCACCGAACGCTGGTGGCAGTAAGAGTGGAGGCAAAGGTGGACTTTTGGGTGAGGAGGAAGAAGGTGCATCACAGAAGACGGTTTCGCGAGAAGCTGACTCAAGGCTTCAAACTTCAGTGGAGCGAGCATTTACAACGGAAATAATGGGGAAGCGCGTGTACAGGAAGCAGGAGCTGAAGAAACTAGCTTTGGAGCGGAAATATGGCGTAGGCTTTGATAAAAAGAACAAGTTTAGCAAGACTTCTAGTGCCGGATTTTTCGGTGGTTTGTTCGCGCCAGAGGTGAGCTCCCCGTCACCGAGGAGACGGCGACGGTCTGGGTCGCACATGAACAGCGATGACAGCGATACGCAAGGCGGAGGACGTGGAGGAAAAAAAGGTGGACGTGGTGAGAGAGGAGCTGGAGGCTTAGGCGGAAACACTATGAACAGTACTAGCACAATGAGCGACCAGAAAAGCCAGATGAGTAAGACGCATAGCGGTAGTTTTTTTCGCGGACGGGCAGGGAAAAAGTCACCGCATTCCTACAGTTCCGAAAGCGAAGCTGATGACCTCGATCTAGACGAGATCAATGAGCACTTGCTGGAAGACAATCATCAAATTCGCAAAGACAATCGCGGAATGGAGACAATTAGCTCTGCATGTTTTGACGCGACACAAGCGAGGCTTATTCTAGGAAGCGATCGTGGCAAGATTATCATAGTCGACAACAAGCGGTTTCAACCGGTGTGTCCTAGATTGAGGAATACACACATGGCAGGAAAAAGCGTTACGCATTTAGTGTACATTCCGCAAACGGCGACGAATATTGGGCACTACAGGTAGTAGGTCTCAAAGTTCAAAGAAGCTTTTCAGTTTGCGTACTTATTTTACCCATAATTCCTATGTATATGTAAGAAGTAATCTTCCTCGTAGTGTACTAGGACGAAGTCCATAATCTTCAAGAAGATGAAGTCTTAGGTAGTCCATCTTCTTCTTCCCTGATGCTGATCAAGTCGAGAGACACGATGAAACTTCCAACCTGCAGGTACTACAACTACGGTCTCCAGAAGGGTGCCCATATCGCTGAGATCCAGCACATGATGCAGGAACCTAAGAATTAAGGGTTCCCACATTACATCCTTCACTAGCATCCCTGACTCTTTTTTCAGTAGGAAATGAGTCAGGGATGTTCTGAGGAATGTAATTCCGTAACCTCTAAAAGAATCAGCAGTTTCTACCCTCAGTGGAGCACTTCCTCAGACCCCCGCTGAACCTTCCAGAAGGTCTAATTGCATCTGGCGGCTCTGACGGCACTATCCTTCTCGTGAGCGACAATCCCGCACGTGGATACCCCCTGCAGTTTCGTCTGACGTATTCCCAAGACGCGTGTAGACTGAAGAACCTGTTCTTCGACTTCGATTCTGGCTACTTGGTCAGTGTAACTGACAGCTACATCAAATGGTGGGAGCCGCACTTGGACAACGGAGAACCAGCAAGAACGATACCTTTGACCCAGAAGAATCTACATGCATTGGGTGTGGCGAAAGGAGAGCCCAACGCTGCCGATCCAGCATTAAGGCTTGACGTACTTACAACAACCTTCTTTGCCTTTTGCAATAAATGGTTGTACTCTTTTTGTTGGTTTTACAGATTTTGAGCCAATAAGGTAGAAGCCGCATATGCAGCTTGATAACGACTGGCCAATTATACGGTAGAAGCCGCATGTGCATGTGCTTGATCGAGTATGAATTGCTACCAGGATTAGTCTCTATGGGCACTACGGACAGTGTCATCAGGGGCACATACATGAGATGGGAAGATACACATATCGCAGTCGAGATCAATTCCTTTCTTTATACAACGTGTATTCTTACACTTCTAAACCTTTCTTTATCTTTGTCTTCTCTTTTTCCTTGTTTTTCACTTGTTTTTTCACTTCAACAAAGAACCGAAACAGATGCCCTGGGAAGATACAACGTGTATCCTTACACTTCTAAACTAGGGATCCGTTAGCTTTGCCACGACTGGCGGTATAGCTTCATCCAGTGCTTTGGGTGGAGACGGACCTGGTGGCGTTGTGGTAGGAACGGGAGGCGCCGCAAGTAGTACTGGCTCTATGGTTCTTGGAGGACCATCTGGTGGAGGAGGTCTTCTTGGCGCACAACCTGGTGGAGGAGGTCTTGTTGGGGTACAAAATGGTGCACTTCTAGCCTCTTCTCTAGTAGCCTCTTCTTCGTCCGCTCCCGGTGGCGGTACACCTCAACAGGCGTTGCCAAGGTATCTGCCACTCCGCAGTGACCAGCTGATCGGGTCAGCGGCGTTGAGGTGGCGGCGGTACAACAACAATCTGGCTTTCTCGGTGGATGCCACAACTGGCGAGATTTTTTGTATCAACATGGAGCGGGGTGAAGTCGAGACGAGGTTCCATCATAGGAAAACCATCATACACAAAGACGAAATACACGATGTCCAGTTCAAGACTACGGCGATGTGCCTAGTTTTAAGGCTCACCCTAAAAATCCATCTTCTGAAGCATCATCTTAGACCTGTCCCATAAGGCGGGGAAAATAGGGCTAAGATGAATCAATCCCGCGATGGATTAGGGTGAGCTCTAATAGTTGAATGGGACGTGAACAAGCTCGAGTGGGCTGACCCAGCAAAAAAATCGGGGCCAGTCGCCTTTTCACAACGCCCGCCAACACAAACGCCGCCAAGTACAGCGGAGCGAGATGCGACAAGAGGGAAAAGACCGAGTCTTGCAGAGCTAGAGAGCTTTCCGAATCCAAGTAGGGCTTCGAGTGGAAGTATTCAAGTGATAGATCTTTTTTCAAATCCAAGTAGGGCTTCGAGTGGAAGTATTCAAGTGATAGATCTTTTTTTTGCCCGGGTCTACATACTTTGCCATTCTTCCCAACATTTCATCAAATCATTTCTTCGTGATATGAAATTCTGAGAAGGTCATCATCTAAGTACTTATGCGTCAATAATCACCGACCACAACACCAAATCCAGCTCCAAAGTCCGATCCTGGATCGCTTGGCCAATTTCCGTATTTCAAGGATTTTCAGAGAGTCTTAGAGCAAGCATGGGGTCGCGACGTAATGTGTGACCTGCCTGACGGCCTCGACGAGCGCCGTATAGAGCTAGAACAGCAGAAAGTTTGGTTTCCGCAAGTCACGCACCTGAGACAACGCAATCTCTACGCGGAAGCTGATAAATTGAAGCAAGAGTTCGAAAAGATGGGGAACATGACTGGGGGTGAGCAGGGAGGTAGCGCAGCAGACAAGGCAAAGTCAATAGAGGCGAGCTCAAAGCTTTTTGAAAAGCAGACGTTTTTCATTACGCAAGACCCGACCCACGAGACGCAGATATTCAACGCAATGGGATGCGACGCTGACAAGCAGGAACCTGTTGTGCGATTTTTGTCGGTCTTGAATGAGTATGGCGATATTTCTTGCTTCTTCCAATTATGTAATATGTCTCCTATGTAAATTTGTCTTATTCTAACCTCCCCTCGGCAACCGGTCCGAGATCGAGATACAGGCAGCCAGTGAACTAGCAGCCGACCTGAGCTACCTGCAAGACCTCGAGATGGAGCAGCTGAGGAAGTATCTCAGTGACCCGACAGTTTTCGAGGTCTATTCGAACATCCTGGGTCATCTAGACAACAGCTTCTGGGGACCAGACGGAAATCCTATAGACGACAGCTCGGATCGCATAGTCAGCGTGAGGACGGGCAAGCTGAAAAAATCTTTGATGGGCAAATCAAGATTGCCTGCGGATCTAGATGAAATCGAAGGACCCCAGAAAGCAGAAAAGCCCCCTTCAGATCCAGAAATCACAGCCTCTGGAGCACCAGAAAGCACAGCCGCAGCACCAGGAGCAGTCCCAGAAGGAGCTGGGACAACGACACAGGGTGGCTCATCTTCCTCCTCTTCGTCGAAGAAGAAAAAGAGGGTGAAAGATCCAGTAGATCTTTTCGATTAAGGCTAGTTTTGTTGATGGTAATTTCGTTTTTCCGGAGTGACTGTTCACCTGTTGTAGTAGATGGCGAGGGGTAGAACAATGGGAAATCGAAATTCATAGAAATTTAGAAAGTACAAGTAGGTACCACCGCTTAGACGTACTACGATAAGTAGCTAACTATGCAAATGCATCACAAAGAGAATTTCCGTTTCTTCCTCTAATCTCGACGAAGGCAAAAGTACAAAGAGCGGGCGAAAGACCTCTTTCGGACACCGGTCACGCCCTACGAAAGTAGGGATCAGAGCTGTATTCTTGCACTTGGTAGCGAAAAGTTATGGCTTCTCCTAATCCATCTCGTGAAGCATCCTGTTAAGGCTTTGCAAGGGTAAAAGCGGCCCAGGATGAGTTTCAAGATGGAATCGGGCGAGCTCTAAAAACCGGCGAGATCAGTCTAGTAAGGGTGACACCAGAACGAGTTGCGCCAAGAGCGAAAACTACGACTACAAATGGAGCAAGTGCCGCTGACTCAGAGAACAACAGTTTGAGTGCAGCGACCGCAGGGATGAGCAACGATGACGCCTTCGCATACGTTTTCGGCGGCAAGTCACTGAAATTACACCGCGAGACCATATGTACGTGGCAGGCGCACGAACCAGGACAGAAAATCACGAGTCTCAAGTTGTTGCCAGGTGTGCAAGCGCTCATTAGTTGTGGCGACAGTTGCAGTGTGAAGATATGGCCTTTGGATACGTATTTTGGCAGCGACGGTCGCGACCCAGAGGATGAGCTGAATGGAGTGGATCACTGCTGGGTACAAGATCAGTCGGTCCTTGATAGCGTAGAAAGCTATCGGCATTAAGGCTTGTTGCCCTATCAAATACTTAGAAGTTCATCGTACAGCTACAGTTTTACAGTTTTACTTTTACAGATTTCAACATAGAAAACCTTTCTTACTGTTCTCTTACTTAAAAGTGTTCATCTTAATACAGTTCTAAGACCTTTCTTACAAGAAGCATCTCCTCTTGTCAACAACTTTCATGACTCTTCTCAAGATGAACTTCAGTTAGAGTCGTAAGCTCTAACGACTTGACACGAAGAAGCTGATACTCAGTGACACGGTCTTTTACAAGAAACCCTGGGTGAATGTGGTGCTAGGACCAGACGTGACGAGCAAGACGTTAGCGTGGTACATGCCAAGATGTCTGCGGAAGAGCCTGCTGTTCAAATATCAGGTACTTCATCTACACTGTTGAGTATCGAGACTTTTTCTTTAGAAGAACTAGAACATCAACGTCTTGAAAATCATTTCACGCATAGCTGCTGCTCGTCAGGGAACACACTTCAATCCACCTTTTTCTTTCCTCTTATTTCAGGCCTACCGCGTGCTCGAGAAGCTTAGGACCCAAGATCTGCTCGGAGAGGAAGAAGGCTCGCTGCATGTGCAAACGAGTATCAAGCTGTATGATAGGTATTACGGCAAGCTGAAGGCAGAGCAGGACTTGAAAAACGAGTACGCACGGCGAGAAGCTGAGAAGTTGAAGGAGAAGAGCAAGGGCATATCGCTAGTCGAGGTGAAGTCTTATTAAGGCTTGGGAGTTGACCTATCATCTAAGAGCGTCTCTATGTCTTCTTCAAGTAGGAAAGCCACAGATATGCGAGCTAGAGATGCCAACTTTCAACCCCTAATCTTACACTGTTTCAAGTGTGAAGCCATTACCAGAGCCGGACTCGCTGAGACCACTGACGATATTCAAAGAGATGACGCAGACGCACGAAAAGCCTTGGGTCAGCAATTGGCAACCCATGAAGCACGTCCTGAGAGAGCAGGAGCAGCGGAAAGCGCAAGCAGCAGCGGCGAAGGACGAGAAGAAGGGGAGAAGAGCCAGTGTGACCAACCTACAACTTGGTACAACTAGTGCCTTCATCTTCATCTTGAATCACAATATTAACCAACGAAAAAGTAGTACATTATAGTTCTGTAAACTCGACTAACCAACGACCTGCATCGCTCCCCCTCCCATTTCGAAAACTCAAACTCGACACGACTAACCAACGACCTGCATCACTTCCTCGTCTCTCACTTCCTCGTCTCTCACTTCCTCGTCTCTCACTTCCTCGTCTCTCACTTCCTCGTCTCTCACTTCCTCGTCTCTCACTTCCTCGTCTCTCACTTCCTCGTCTCTCACTTCCTCGTCTCTCACTTCCTCGTCTCTCACTTCCTCGTCACCAACTCCCACCTCTTCCACAATTACAGGCAAAAAGAAAAAAGCAAAGGGGAAGGATCCTGACGCAGACATGTTTTTTCCCGACCGGCTAAACAAAGCTTCCCACGAGTGGAATTTCGAGCGACTTTATGGTAAAGGCGGCGCTGGGCATCCAGCTGGGGAGAAGGTCCTTAGGAGAACCTATAGCGACATCAAGAGTGGTCTGTCATGGCGACCAGAGTACGACCAATTCAATACAGACAGAAAACGCAGAGTGGAAGAAGACAACACACAGAGGAGAAGAAGAAAGCCGGGACAGCCGGATATAACTGTACTAATTGTTTCTTGCCTTAGTATGTTTAGTCGTGACTATGATGCTCATAATTTTCTCATTGTTTAATTGTGGCTATGATGCTCATTGCTCTCCCTAGTGTTTTTTTCATCTGAAGTGCATATATTAGTCCAGCTATTTTTTTATCTCATTTAATAGCTTTTTTCGGTCCTTTTTCTAGTTAGGCTGGCACTGGCTCCACGACCATTAACTTTAACAAACAAACACAGAGCAACCACCTGCCTGCAGAAGAACGAATGAAGATTCTTATGGAGACTATAGCTGAACCGCTAGTACACGAGCATAGGGACCCAACATCCGAGCGAATGGCTACCAGGAAGTGGCAATCGTATATCTAAGAAGATGGATGTATAAAAGAAGCTTCCTTCCAGATAATATTTGTTGATAGACACTAATAGTGTTCTGAGAGTTAGAGCTAGACGCAAAAGCAAAACTAAAAAGTGGAATTGATGTTCGATTGAATTGTAGCAGTCTATTCGTCAACATGGTTTCCGTATCCCCCTCTCTTTCCTGATCACAAATCAAATGGCAAATGACTGTCACAATCCTGTCACCAGGTTCGTCGACAAAGAAAAAGCAAGCTTACCTCAATCTTCGAATATTGACTGGCTTCGCACTACAATGCCAGCCAGGTTTAGGACGGACAAAACCCAAGGTGCGGCGTCACCCGAACGTCATATCTCAAGTCCGGAGAAAACAAGGTATTTAATACTGTAAGTACCTTATCTTACCCTTTTCAACACAGTGAGTCTCACGAGATTTTTTTAACTCTACGTCTTCTACTCCAACTAGAGCTTACAACAAGAAGGGCTCCAGCAGCACCTGTCCTCGACTTCCTTCTAGAGATCTCAAGCCACCTCGTAGGTAGTTTATCTCTACCGCATTCCTTGCTGCTCCTATTCATAGGTTCCTCACCACTCTCTCTGACTTTTCTGCGGTTCGTCGGCGTGTTGAGGGCACGAAACCGTCTAAGGACACGAGGGATAAGTTCAAGCCAGAAGTAAACGTAGGCCGCGACTTCGCTGTGAGCGGTGGCGATGTGATGCTCAAAGGTGGCGAGGCTGCTCGTAGACGAGTTTCGGATATTTAAGGCTGCGAGTGAAAATGAAAAGGTTCTTTGTTGTTCTCTTCTATATTAATTCATCTTTAATATCATCGTTTATCTTCTAATCACTGCAGCAGATGTTGTTGAGGCAGTATCCGCGCAGACCGCCAGAGGAGGAGCAAATGCTGATGGATCTCGCGAGCAAGCCTGGAGCGATTTTGATGTAGGTCTTGCGAGCAAACACGGAGCGATGTTGATGTAGGACATGGCGCTACGTGATATCGCTACATAGGAAACGTAAACGATCACGTCCAGTCATTCGAATCAATACTACTGTTCTTAGACATCGTATGATTAGACATGCGAATTATCTATTGAGACATTCTATTAGACACTATATATAATGTAGGAGAACGAGTACAAAAAGCAACGATAAGCGTAGTCGAAGTCACGAACAAGGAGCATAATGAAACATTGTTTGAGCCATTGTTTCGCAAGTAAATACGGTAAACGTAGATGAATGTAACTTACGTAGATGGACTATTTAAGCTTAAAAACGGTAAACGTAGATGGATTCCTAACCCTAATGGTATTTAAACCCAAACTGGTATTTACGATTCGACTTCCCGAACACTAACAACGACAAAATTCGCAATTGTTCAACATCGACACGGCTCTTGTTATTCAAAACAAGAGATCGTAGGAGCAGAAGATTGTAGTTTATGTATAGCAGTCACTAAATGTAGCACAAAGTTTCAGGTTGTGTATAGCAGTCACTCAACCAACGAAAATGCGAAGATTTCAGCACAATGAGGAGCAAAAAGCAAAGGCACCCGGAATAAGTTTCTATTTCAAGTTGCGCAAGTTTGAGTTATGTTTATGTAGATCAATATAGGAGAAGGGTGAATGAATGAACTATGAAGTGTTTGAATTTAAATCCAACGGTATACGCTAGAAGTGTGGAAGATTTAGTTGATGGATGCACAGGCAGATGTATGCACAGACAAACGTATGCACATGCTGATTTAGTTGATAGAAGTGCTTGGCCTCCGATGAACTAGACCTGAACGAATAAAGCTGCTCCAACGAAATTAATAGAAGTAACGACCCCTTAATGTCAAACTGTTTCTCCTTGGTGCACTGAAATGTACTGGAGTTCGGTAAAAGACTGACTCCATCAAACTCCATCAAGCTGTCGTCGCGACGCATGTTTCCGAGACCAGTATGAGGACTAAAAGTATGCTGTAGAGGTTGTTGCTGATTCTGGCAATATGTCATGCGCGAACAACATGATCACGACCCTCTTATCGCACGATAGGCATTATAATCCCGCTACCAACTTGTCTAGTGTTCTCTGAGACGTGGCCACCGCCACCACCACACGCACACCCAAGTTGCTAATCCACACTTTTCTGTTGTAGGCCTGTACGATTTGACGCTGTAGTAAAAGTTTCTCTAGTAAGAAGTAGTATTTTGCCGAAGTGCCTTGCTCATGTATGTTCTGTTCGTCCAGTAACTTGCTTTATCGTTGTATGTTTCTTGTTCCTCTCGTCTTTCTGAATATTACGGCGGCCTTGTTGTGATACACGGATGGAGTAGTGAGTGTCAGGAGTGCTCACTGAGTGTGCGTATTCCTGCTCTTCATAAGTGAGAGTCCTCTTCTTGTTTTCGCCAAGAAGGAGATGTTGGAGACAGAAAGGGTTACGAAGAAGATGCGGTTGTAGGTGCACAAATGAGGAGGTCTCATGAGTTATGCGTAGAAGAAACACAAAAACGAGCTCTAGGTTTAGTATTGTCTTTTTAGCTCTTCAGTAGCCAATGAAGCCTGCTAGTTTTTCTGGCGGGCCTACGCCTAACCTAACCTAGATGCCGATGATGATGATCGCCGAAGATAGGCCATAGTTATCTTCAAAGACAAGAGACCAAAAAGTACCCGAATCAATCACGTCACAATGAAAAAATAAAAAACCTTAGCTTCGAATATGCAATACGAACGCACGTTTCTCGAATTTATGTCAAGCAACTTTTTTACCTCATTACCACTAGTATACTAATAATACCTGTTAAAAATACTGTTATTGCACTTGCATTATAAAAATCAATTAAGCAATTGTTTAATATACCAACAAATTTCTCATTGCCAGTGCCACTATGGACAACGATTTGTATTCGATGCTTGGTGGTTTCGACCCACCCCCTGCGAAAACGAAAAATAACACGAAGGCAATGAAAGCAGACGTTATGGCATTTGTTGGCGAAGATCAGTCATGTTCTACTAACTTAAGTGATAATATGGAAAATAATGCCTTCCGCGGACGAACTAGAGCTCGAGTCTATCGCTCCCAGGGAATTGAGTAAAAAGAGATATTCGCTTTTCTACGTACTCAGACAAACTACACAACTGTGAATCTCTCGGGTGCTTCAAATAAACTTCTCACATCTACTCCTGTAGCTCATTTCGAATAATTTACACTTGCAGAGAGCGCTAATTCAAATTCTAGAAGAAGCCATTCTGGAGCTGCAGCAAATGCCACAGCTATGAAGAAGAGTCAAGGAAGCTCCTCCTCCTCCGCTTCCTCCTCCTCGTCCAACAAGAGGGTTGCTACACCAGCTAGTGCTAGAAACGCTGGCGAAGAAGCAAAGTCCTCTGCGAAGACAGGAGATCAGACTAAGAAAAACGACCAGTCTCTGTCACCTCTAGTAGAAAAGCAAGATGATGATGACGACGCTATGGGCCAGGATGGTGGACCACACGGAAAGAGCGACATAGGTGATGCTGAATTGCGGCAAAAAGAGAACAATACTAGTTCTAGTACCACTTCTACAACATCAGCCATGAAAAAGATAGGAACAAAACCTGCGGATAAAAACATCACTGCCGCAACATCTACTGCTTCCTCTAGCAGCACTGCTAAGAACGCCATCACTGCCGCAACATCGACTGCTTCCTCTAGCACTGCTAAGAACGCCATCACTGCCGCAACATCTACTGCTTCCTACGCGAACGCTGATCAAGCTAAACGAGGTCAAGAGAAGAAGGAAAAAAATGGAGCTACATCTTCCAGTATTATGAGTGTAGGGAATTCATCTCCGAAGTCATCTGGAAGAGAAAGACACCCGGGAAAAAGTGACCCAGATGATCCCTGAGATGAATTCCCGGCGCCTCTATCTTCAGTAGTACGAGTAGTGCTGCTGCTCAACAGTCAAAGCAGAAGAAAGGCCGAAAGAGCGAGAAGGTCGAAGGTGATAATAACGGGGACCTTAAGGCTAGCGAGGATTTTTACAACTTCTAGAAATAGGAATAGCATTCAGTAAGTATCCATGATCCGCCTAACGACCTGTAACCAAGGTGAGAAATACGACCAGGTTGCAATACTCCTCGACTACAAATGACGGGTAGAAGTTTATCTACCACATATTAACTACCACTTATGTGCTTGTTGTTGTACTATAATTTAAGATGTAGTTGATTTTGATATTCATATTGAGATTGACCACAATTTTCTTGGTCAACAACATTTGGATGTCTAGTTAACAACACTCCTCATCCGATTCTCCATTACAGCGTGATATCTTTTATCTAGCTAACGATGCGAACGTGCAGGAAAAAGTGAAAGACCTCGCATCCACTTGACCACGTGGTGAAAGAGGGCACATGGCATGACATGCCAAGTTATTACAGCGTGGTGTCTTTTATCTTGCTAACGATGCGAACGTGCAGTTAGCTATGGTACTTATATATTACCTCTAAAAAAACAGATGAACACGAGGATGAAGATGACACGGAAGATATGGATGAAGTCGAGAGGAACATGGACGAGGGGGAGAAGAAGCTGCGTCGGGTCGAAAGATCAGAGCCTGCCAAGAGTGGAGAGATGGACGCGAAATATTCTGCCGTTATCGAGAAATACCAATTATGGCAAGAGAACTAGTGAACAACTTACTACTACCTAGGCTAGTAGAAGTACTGGCAAAAGAACTAGTGAACAACTTACTACTACCTAGGCTAGTAGTACTAGCAAAAGACCTAGTGAACAACTACTAGTACTACGAAATATCAAGAAGAGCAAGTTGTCGGTCTACAACAGGCAAGGACAACTGTAGTTCTTAAAGAACTAGTGCTACTTCCTCTTACTCTGTCTACTATTGATTTAGATTTAGAGAGAAGATTGAGCCTGTTCTTTGATCTACTAGTAATTTTTTCCTTTTTGAAGCTAGTCGTGTACGACACTAAATTTCGTTCAATAAGAAAAGTGGCACGGCTAGCTAGACCTAGACCTATTGACGTAACAAAAAAAGAGGCACGTCCTAGTCTTTTAGTTGTGCCTGTGTGTGCCCGTTCTTTTGTTACAACTGCTCTAAGCCAAAAATATATCGATTCTCAATGGTATGGGAAGAAGACAGACCCGGTCGGCGGTCAATGTCAAGTTAAGGCTCGCATTGCTATTCGTTCTACTTGTCGTGACGATGAGCATGAGCAGAAAGTCAAGTAGCTATTTCTATTTTTGCACTGTTCTCTCCGCTTCAAAGCCTATTTCTACAATGGTGTACGTTGAGGCCATTTATCGTTGAGGCGACCTCTCGGTCACTAGAAGAGAAGATCACCGCACTAGATTGAGATGAAGAAGATCATCCCCCTCTCTCTTCTTGGTTACTAGAAGTACTTGTAATAAGACTGTATTAGTAACAAGAGTACTTTTCTCGAAGTACTTGTAATAGAGGTGAAGATCTTCGTCAATCCTACTGCACCCTCTCGTCCTCGCTAATGAATTCGGTGACATGGTGGATCGATTTGGGCGAGTGCACGCAACACCACACCATAAGGAGACGAGTGTGGAAGCAGCGGAGCCCAGTCCTAAAAGTAGAGGCAAAGCCGCGATGAAGGAAGTGCCTAGTCCTAAAAGCAACAAAAGGGCCGTTGCAACTCCAGCGAAAAAGGCGTCCGCTGCAGACATTCCTTCGCTGACAGTGAAGGAAAGGAAGCTAGTCAAGGACGGACTCTACCAGTTAAGGCTGTTGTTTTGGTACTCATTCTTGGTTTTTGACATTCTCCATCTCCTGCGTATTTGTAGTAGTAGTAGTAGTACTATAATCAGGACTTCTTCTGCATGGATATGAAATTGGAGTTGAGCGACGAGAAGCAAAAGTAGAAGTCCGATAATAAAAACAAAAAAGTAGAAACAGACTGAGGCGTAATCCCGTCTAAGATTCTGGTTTTTGATAGGAATAGGCGAAAACGACGCATAGAATTGGACAGTAATTTACGACAAAATTAACACAAAAGACCAGATGCAAGTTAGTCGTAAACTTCTAATTCAGGCAGCGAGAAACGAAAACTTCAAGGCCGCGTATTCGTTGATGTGCTTGCTTGATTGGACCGAGCGTTGGAAATTTTTGATTAAGGCTAGTCGTTGTCAGAGTTACTCTCTGGTGCTTATGTGAGATATCAATCCCCCTAAGGGCAATGATTCCGGGCACCTTGGTGTCAGGAGGCAACTCAGACATGACCAGGGAGGCCAGTTAGACGTGAGATGCATGACCATGACGATGAAACCTACTATGGTTCAATGACACCCAAGGGCTGACCTCCACTCAATCACGGAAAAGAATGTTTAGCTGCCTGGCGCTAATTTTCCGGACTTTTCTCGGCATTGCGATTTTCCAAGAAATCATAGTCGTGCACTCTCCTTCCACCCGGATGCTAAGCCGGACAATGCGCCAGAGGTTCGCGCCGACAAGCAAAATAGATACTTCATTAAGGCTCATTAAAGGATCTCAAAGTCAAAGTATTCTTGTGATTCACCTTGTTCACAGGTGTTCATGTTTTCTCTCGGAGGACGAGGAAGGGTTCGGAGTACGAAAGCTTTGAGCAGATGGTCTCTGAAGACAAGAAGCAAGCTGACTAAAAGCGTCTTCAGGAATGTTGTGAATCTGATGACCAATATGTGGGTAGGAATTTCAACTTGTTGTTGTGAAAGAAGAATATTGTTGTTGTGGTATGTGGGTAGGGAGTTGTTGAGAAGAATTTGGATCATTTTCTTGAACCGCTCTACCACATCATCTACCAGGTAGACCTAAGTACCTCTAAGACTACTCTCGGTCTCTTGAATGACAGGCCGTATGGAAAATTCGGTAGGGATTCGACAAGGGATAGCGGTTTGACCCTTATCATCAACGCGCTCACGAAACTTCACGAGGATGCGGAGGATGCCAAGAGTGGTAGACCTGAAGAAGAAAAGTGGTGGCATACTTATGGCTAGCGACTTATTCTGTTCAGGAGACTCACCTGTAACGGCTACTGTAATTGAATTTTTCTTCCTTTTCGTCGCCCACCATCCTCGGAGTTGAGCTAGGAGTCCGGGAGGCTCGATGTGCAGGATCCATAACCTAACCTAGCCTAAGCTTTTTGCTTCCTCGATTATAGAGAAAAAAAAATTACCCTAGCCGTTACATGTGAGTTTCCTGAAGATAAACGGCTAGTGTAATTGTTTTTTTGTCAGACGTGGCCTATTATGCATTTTTATTTTTTCTACGAGGCAACCTGGTCAAAGCGTTGTACATCGCGTTTCCTATGTGCAGAAAAAGAGCGACTTCCTCCAGTTCTACTTTCATCGCTTTCCCAGCTGCAGTTGGGTTGTCTGTAAAAGCTTCTACTGGAACTAGACGTCGCTTGCTTTGTAAGTACTCAAAAGTTCATCTACAACCTTTATTTGTCTTTACGGGACAAGTTACTAGGAGATCTTTTAATTAACCCATACGTCTTGCTCTTCTAATATACTTCAATCACAGCAAATCGCAATAGTCTCTGTAAGATTCACGTGGATGGCGGAAATTTGGGTCCTTCTAGACTCTTCGCGGTAGGCGATTTCATTGGTGGCGAAACCTTGGTGTTGGACGTGGACTTCGATCCTAAGACTAGGAAGCCCACAGATCTGGATTGGCAGTGGTTAAGGCAACTGTAGTTCATATTCTCAATAAATAATTGCTTCAAGAACTTGTTCAAGGCTCCTGGAGATTGATTGAGTAGTTGTTCTTTACCAATTTCAGAAGGTATTAAACTTTAGTAGATAGATTATACTGCTTATTCTTTACCAATGATTTGTGTTTTCTCTTCTAGACGACCGTTAGTAACCTACACTGGTGACTATAGATTACGTTCTTTAAATCCAGATTGATATTCGTTTTTGATTCTGTAGCCGCTTGCAAACTTTGATGTCCCTCCACCACCTTCTAAAGTGTGCCCGTGTTGAAAACGAACGCGCAATCATCGCAGCCAAAAAAATTGGCGTTTATTGTCGACTCGAGTATCTCGATGAAGAGTTAAGGCGTTTGCTTCTTTCTATTTGCACGCACAAGCTGTTCGTTGTAGCATTTAACGATTCCTCAAGACCTTGATCTTGATCGATGTTGAGCTTGATCTTGATCTTGATCTGACTACTATTACCTTTCTCAGAGTGCTCGCCGTCGCCATCAACTATCCTAGAGATCTTTAATTTAGGAGAAGAAAAAGGCAAAGGCAGAGCGACGGGGATACGATCCAGAGTGGGGGAAGCCAACACTGATCTCAGAAAACTTTCTCTTTCGGTTAAGGCAAATGAGTCCTTCTCTTTCTCAGCTTCAGAAGCTTTGTTGAAAAATAAGGTGCTGCTTAGTTTAGGACTGTATTTCTATTTGATTGAAGGAGAAGCAAACGACTCTCGCAGAAATAGATCATCGAATATGGTGAAAAATTAGGTGTTGCTTAGTCTAGAACTGTAGTTAATCAGTCGACGAGGCGACATGTAGCAGGAACAACGAAGGCGAGTCGCCGCAGTTTTAGTGTAAGTACCTCTATTGTACCCACCTATGCATAGAATTTGAATTACTATGTCTCATCATATGTTCTGCTAATTTACGGCAGCACATTCAACTACGAAGAGCAGCGGTGTGGAAAGATGTGGCTTCCGATGAGGAAGCTCAATATACGAGAAATGTTCGCAACATATTATGGCTCGCTAAAAGAGTCTTTATCTTTTAACTTGTGACTCTGGCTCAGTGATACTGATTATGCGAACGCGTAGCCTTGTAGTTGTAAGGGAAAGCGAGGAACTGTAACAGAACAGGCGAGAGCACTTGTGATTATTCCTAGACTCACTGATCAGGTAGCAAGATAAGAAAAAAGTTGCTCTTCTTTTGATGTGTCTACTGGGTATCGTGGCAATTATTTCCCGAGGTAGCCTAGTTCTTTGTAGCATCAATCGATAAACAGCACCTTGTTGCTTTTAGCGTTGACCTTTTAATACTAGCTTGCTGGTTCTTGAGGTCATTGAAAAATGCAATTAAGACAGCCTTTACCTCCAAACTGCTCTAATATTCCGACGGTCGGATCCCGCACGCGACAGCTCCATTTTTCGAAAAAAACATTGGAAATAAGCAGAAGGACCCGAAGCATCCGCTTCATGGCATAGACTTGAAAGGACGAATCCCGATCGATAAAGAAGACCTGGTCTACCAATTTTCTGTGGACAATTACACTGTTATGGTGCCGCTTTCTGAGCCTACATATTTATTAATGTAGACATAGACGACAGCCTCCCTTCTTTACCTGCAATACTCCTCCAGCTGCTTTTTTAGCCTTTGTAATGTACATAGAAGACAGGCTCCCTTCTTCTACCTGTAACTATTGCTAGAAAAAGAAGCTCTAGCTTCTTGTTCTTACACGAGCTCCACCCGTAATAGCAAGACCAGACGTCGATAGTAGCGAAAACCTCTCTAATCCTCGTACAGACTACGACCCATCCTCTTCGACCGCAGATCGTCACGTCTACGTGTTGTATGCTCATTCGGTCTTCACGAAGCCTGGCGACCGAACGATCGACGTCCTACAATCCTTTGGATTTGAGCTTAAGACTTTTCCATGCTTCGCGTTCATGAGTCGTGGCCTTCAGTCCTCTAGTCCTCGTTTAATTTTTACCAGACTGCCGCTCGCCAGTGTATCAAGAAAAGCAAGTCAGAGTCTTCAGCTTTCCGTTTGGTACAGTCTTGGTCTAGAAGAAAAACGGCGCGGCAGTCTTCTACTTTTTTTTAGTCGAGTCTATTACTTTTTTCGCTAATAGTCGAGTCTCGGAAGCGTTTGCCCCGGCACAGACAAGGCTACTCGAGCTACAGAAAGCAAGGCTAAGGCTACTAGCAGTTGTTCTACTTTCTGCTCTTACTACAAGAAGTTTCTCGTTTACTTACTTATAATCGAAAACTGGAAATACAAACCGTAACCGAGTTGCTGACTGAAATAGGGGAGGCAGCTTTAAAAGGCTCCCCTTACTTCAGTATCTCGGTTATTCTTATCTGCTAGATCCACTCTCTACGTCGTCGCTCTCTACCTCGTGAGTAGGTATTTACATCAATCAGTCATCAATACCTTGTGGTCCTCATCGCCTATTTCTAAAAAGAAGGGATCCCGATCGTGGCGTGAAGATGCATCGAAAAGCTGAAGGCACCAAGCAAGACCAGCGCATCGTGAAAGACCTCATCGCGGAAAAATTTAAGGGCCACACGTGGGACAGCCTGTTCGCCTTGCCGGACAGGTCGAGCCACTTCATACGTTAAACGTTATAAACAAGATTAGAGACTTCGCGTTCTTTCACTTTGTTGGTCACTGATATAATTAAATTTTGAAGTCACAATTATCAATCTTGTAGAAGCCTTAACTTCTACTCTCCCGCGTTTGGTTCGTTTTCATTAACTGCAACTACTTCAAAGAATTTGTAAGTTCATAGGTTTCTTAGTTAATGATAAAGATTACAGACCACTCTAAGAAGCACGCGAGAGAGACGAAAAGAACGATCGAGGACATTGCCGAGGAGATAGGTTTTCTGGAGTATTGTAAAGAAATTTTTTACGGTGCTTTGCGGCAAGGGCAGCCGCTCAAATGGACTTAAGAAATTGCGTCCCCTATCTACTTCGCTAGTTCGTCGCGCCTATTCCTTTTTATCTCTTCCGCGATTTAATATCGCTCTTCCTCTTATGTATCACATTTATCATCTACATCACTCGCCGTGAGTGACCTAGACCTTCACAGCCACAGACACTATTTTTGGAACAATCTCAAGCAGAGTAGCCGATGCAATGTTTGAGTCAAAAACAAGAAATCGATTATGGTATCTGATAAGTGTTTCGCTTATATTTATGTACCAGGGAGGGCGGCCCCCCCCTGTGGATGTATGTAAGCAACTATTATACATTTCAACTAAAGTAGTACAGCGTCGTCTTCGACTTCCTCTAAGGAGATTCTAGAGAAGCCAGTAAAGCTCAGACGTTGGCGAAAGCGTTCAGCCTGAAGACACCCTACGACATCTTCGATTATGGCCCTTTCTTCCTATACTAAGTACACTCACATCCTGCCTGAAGCTGAAGCCCGTACTAATGTAGTTCGAGAATGAGAACATTGTTTTTGCCGGACCTACTTTGTCTCGCCGATAATAGTTGTTGGAAGCAACAACTACAACTAGTTCTTAGTTCCAACTACTACTGGTAGATGAGGTCTGTCCTTCCCCCGCCTAGCGCGCTCAGACAATCAATCGCACTTCTCCTCTCCTCTATCTCTCCTCTCATCTCCTCTATCTCTGTAGTTTCTCTGCTAATCTTTAGATACTATCCGAGGCACCCACGAGATGTTGCGCACTGTCGAGGGTCGGCATATTCCTCTCTTCTGTTCTGGCCCTGAAGGGTGGCGAAAAGCATTTAATTGCAAACAGGGAGTTGGTATTACTTATACTTATGCTTACAAGTCGCTGGCCATGTCGTTAGGCTTTTGAAACAAGCACGCCCGGCACGTTTGTGGGCGGGCAAACCCATACGCGGGTGGAACTGCAACTGAGTGGGGCTGTGGGTAGAAAAGCCCACGCGTGGGTGTGTGGGTGTGGTGGTGGGTGGCGTGGGTGGCGTGTGGGTGTGGTGGGTGGCGTGGGTGTGGTGGTGTGTGGGTGTGGTGGTGTGTGGGTGTGGTGGTGTGTGGGTGTGGTGGTGTGTGGGTGTGGTGGTGTGTGGGTGTGGTGGTGTG